CAGAATTTAATTCAGGACAAAATGGTATAAATTGTGACTTCAACATTGAAATCATTTTGGCTGTTTCGAATTAAAAGAGAACAATGTCATAAGTCTGTCGGGAAATAAGTTTTTTTGGTGTTTTCATATTTTCCACTTCAAATATTTCTTCTAAATTTTTGAAAATTACATCGAAAGATGCAGAATTTTATATAGAATTTCATAGCACACTTAACATTTCAGAAGAATCGTTTAAAAATATTCCATACGTTTTTTTGTTATTCGTAGATGGACTTTTGAGTAGGTGTTAATCTTTGAAGTTTTGCGCCCACAAGAAAGACTAATTTGAAGACTGCATTCGACATTTTTGTACCAAAATGAATTCTCTATCGAATGAGCTCAGAACCAGGTTTTAGAACGATTGTTAAGTACCTCAAAGGTAGAAAACAAAAATGCCTCATTATTTCTGCGCCACCCGTTATTTTGGCACGTCCAAGTCCGCGGGAGCTTAAGTCCAAGTCAAGTCCAAATTCGAGTCGACGTTCTTCATAACAATTTCTGTACTACACAGTACATTATAATCATATCTGACAGGTAAATAAAGTTTATCGATACATTGGTGCATGTTTGACAAAAAAAAGACTAATAAATTAGGTATCAGATTATACCCATTCCGTTGTTGAATTGTAAAAGATTTTAACTCCTTGGACTTAAAACGAACTTGATAAAAAATCTCCAAATCTAAGTCCGTCAGAAAAGCCTTTAAGTCCGGACTTGGACTTGCCCACCTCTGGTTCTACTTAATATCTGTAGTTTGAAGCTGAACTTGGATGTAAACTTATATCGTTAAAGTGTCAGTATATAATAAGCGTAATTATTTATATATAATCTAATAATTGCATTCGTGAACGTAAAGGTTTAGACTTTTCCAAGTTTTTAATGTCACTTTTGGTTGCAAATATTTCTACATGATTGCTTGATACAGTTGAATATCTTTCTATTTGTATAGCTAACGCGCGTTCAAGATAGTTTAATGCTTGCTTCATATTTTGATTTGCTGAATAAATGCGTGCGAAGCCAATGTAGGTTTTGGCTATGTCGGGATGGCTTAGTGGCAAACATTGTTTCTGTAGTTTGTAGGCATTTTCAAAACATTCATTTGCATCCATAATATTGTTAGTTAGATAGTATGCGTAACCCATACGAATGAAATTTTTCGCACAATCTGGATGATTACTGGGTACAAATTTTTTTGCACTTTCCTTAGCCAGTGTAAAATAATGGAGTGCATTTTGGATATTGCTGTCCAATAGCGCTATATAACCTAAGGCAATGTATACCTTTGCTATTGATCGTTTATTCTGATGCTCATTTATTATTTTTTCTAACAAATCTTCTGCGCTACTTAAATCTCTGCTCAATATACTGAGGTAACACCCTAATATTTGAACATCAAGATTGTCTGGTTCCAAATCTAATGCTTGCGCATGTAGATCAAGGGCACGATCATGTTTACCATTCCTCATATAAAATTCACTTAAATCACATTGAACTTGAACAAGTTGTTCTGTTTTGGCACCGAGTGCTAAACGAAAATAAGAATATGCATTGGTAAACAATCCTTTATAACAGAGTACTTTTCCATAGGCGTGCGCAGTGTTGTTCAAATTCAGTAAAGTACATTCGTAATAATTATATAGTTCTTTCACATCATCATCGAGTAACTGACACAGCTGAATCCCAATTAGCCAATATTGTTCATGTTCAACGTATTCCATTTTCGTTAAACGAAATTTTGAACCAAAATAAAATAAAATTTCCCTTTCATTATTATCATGTATGATTTCGGCGTATGGCAAGTGTTCGTCAAGTTTTAAATCAACTTTAATTTCCATAAGAACCGGCGTTACTTGAGCATTATTATTGCTTTTAATTAATTCTAATGCTTGTGACAAATTGTAGGATGTCGAGTATATTTTATTAAAGGTCATTGTTTGACCTAAACTTTTTTTCATTAAATTAAATTCGCTAGTCGTTAAATGTGTGCCATGATACAATATTAACTTTTCATCTGGGTATTCGGTGACGAACTTTTTATGTTCATCAAGTAACGAAGTGTAAAACGCTGTCCAATAATATCGCAAATGCCACAATGAGTCTAGATCACTCGAATACATTTCACTCATTAATATGTCGTACAGAAATGTATCTTTAGTATACCAGAATATCGATTGTTCTGGTGTAAATGTTTCTATAAATTGATTCAGTTGGTCAAGACACTGTTTATTTTCATTATCGTTCGTTCCAGTGGAAATAAAGTTTTTAGCAAAGTCATAAAAGTCCTGTTGTTGACTATTATCGTTTGATGATTGACTAAGTAACAAACTAAAAGCTAGTTGATCCCACACGTTGTTGTCCGTGGTGTATCTATAACGTTTTGGTTTTTCTGCATCTTGTTGGTTAAAATCCGTTGTTGGTGTTTTTGTCGAAGTTTTCATTTGAACAATAGGATTATTTTGTAAGTCATACTTGATCATTTGTAAAATTTTTCCAAAATTTTTCGAAACATTTCGTACTTTATTACAGGAATTGGCCCATTTATTATGTTTGGCTTCATCCATACAATAAACATAGATGTCCGCTATTTGTGATAGCGGTTCAAGTTCACTTTTAACGATCATCTGTCCGTACTTGCCTGATAGAAGCGCAAAGAAAGAAGTATCTCTCATGTCGTCCGATTTTATTTTGTCTAAGCATGTATTTGGATCGGTAAACGTTAAAACTATGTCAAATATTTCTTTAAGAGCTACTGCTGTTTCATCTTCTTCATTTACATTGTCGTCAAGCCAAATCAAGCCAATCTGACTGTAACTAGAGCTTTTAGATATAATAGATGGTGCTGCTGTAGTGTGTTGCTCGCTTCTAATAAAAGCGTCGTCAGATACAGAAGCCATTTTAAATTACTTCTTACGTTAAGGTACGTTGTAGCAATTCTAAAATGAAAAATTGCTGAAGTGGAACTTTGTCTATTTCAACTCTCATACTAACCTTGAACTCTCAAGTCAAGTTTTTCAACTGTCACGTTTGTTGTTGATCTTTTTTAATCAAATAACTGTGATTCTGTGCAAGTAAAAGCGACTTTTGCAATATAACTGACTCAAATAGCAGTCTTTTCTTTCTTCGTTGTGATCCCAAGTCGACTTTCTTGTTTCATTCGCGACGCGTACGCGTGGCATTCACTCAACTCGCAACGCTATCGCTAAAAATTCGCTATTGTCGCGGAGTGATCGCGACCAATTCTTATTTTTCGAAAAATTTGGGATTCACGATCGCGACGCAACAATTTTTTCTTATAGAGATCGCGTTTGCGTGTTGAAATCCCGCTATGACTCGCTATTGCGACTTGCGATAAATGAAATCGCAGTTTATCTATTTCTTTTTTGTTTTTCAAAGAAAATAATATAACCAGAAGCAAATAGTCGACACAGAATAAGTACACAACAATTTTAGTGAGAATGTTAGTCAGCAGAGGTAATTTTGTTTACTCACAAACTTAAACTATTCCTCTCAGTCATTTTTAAGAAGCAAACCGAGTGTCCAAATCTCCTGGTTTGACCAAGAGACTCCTGATTTTTAGATTTTTCTCATGATGAAAATTCTTCTGATTTCAGAAGCTAATTTTTAAGATTTTTTCCTGATTTTCAATTGTTTTCCTTATCGATTTTGTTTTTCCAACACTGAGATTATCAAAAAAAAATACTTTTTTGATAAAGTTATTGGATTTTTTTATTTTTCTTGTCCAAGAAAACACTGCCTGATACTCCTGCTTTTCTCCTAGCTTCGAAAACAAAATCTTCTAATTAACTCCTGATTTTTTACGAAAAACTGAATTTGGTCACCCTGGAAACAAAACAGGCTCATCATGCTCAGAAAATGTAGCGAATATAAAGACTTTACTTGTGTTGATGGTTGCTGTTACCACTAATGTGAGTATCTCGGTGTAAGCTCGCTTTACTGTTTATGACTTTCAGGATGTAGCGATGATCAGTTCGGTCCTGATTGATACACGGAGGATTGGGATGTAAATCATTCCGCCTCATTTACAGGATGCTAAATTGGCTTTAGCAACGAACTGATCCTGGCGATAATATCCATAGATATACATTCTCTGAAAGTCCAAGCATAAATGTTTTCTTCACATAAGGCAAACGTTACCGTAACGGTAAAACTCATTGGCGAACAAAAAGACGTCAACCTTAAACTTACTGTTGCTTTGAGATCAAACTCCAGTCATATGTTGCATCGAAGTTGAGAAATAGATGGAAGAAAAACTTAAAGAAAAAGAATGAAGTTTTTAAAATATTTTCAACAAATTCGTAAAAACTCAAAAATCAAATATTGCTCAGAGTGAATCGCGAATTTAGCGCGATCATTCTTGGACCACGACAAAACCGTGATCATAAAATAAGACTCTTATTTCGCAATCATAACCACATTACGTAAATTACGTGCATGAAAATCAAGGCATGTGTCTAAAACAAATTGTAAATTTTAGTCTCCTAAGTGAATCTTAAGTGTTCAGACTAATTTAAACAATGTAAGCGCTAAAAGCAATGAAAGTACAGTTCGATAAATTTGCAGACTAGTCTCAATAATATGGGTGGCGGAAATACCAAAAGTCCTCAAATTCTTAGTGTATTAAAGTGTACTAGAGCGTTCACGTTAAAAGCAAAAATTAATTTTCTGCTCACGTAATGTACCTGGTCTTCAATATGCACGATTAAAACAGCATGCACATTTTTGATAATAATTAGTAGCGGCGCGAAAAGGTTGAAGCAGGGTGACTGTAGTTCCAAAAATCGGAGTAAATTCACTCTATTTTCTACAAAACTGGATTAAATTTCTCGTATTTTTGGTTACAATCCGGGCAAATTTCGATCCAAATTTCTGAAAGCAGGAGCATGTATATTCCTCATGGCGCCACTGATAATAACTCGCTCAATTGAGATTTGATTTTTAAAACTTTTTATCTTTCGACTTAGGAAACTTTATCCTACCGAAAAATAACACCCATTGTATACTATGGTCATATGTATTTTAACAGAGGAAAAAAGTGTGTAACAGACATGTGGAAACAGACACACAAACAAGCACGAGTTTCAAGACGAAAAAGCGTGGATTCTGTACGCAGAGCGTATAGACCATACGTATTTTTTTTTCTTCACAGCAGTATTATTAGCACGAAATAGAAAAAGAAAAAATGAGAATCTTTGTGTATCGCACGACTAGTGTTGTCATGCAATCAGGTAAGAAAAAAGCTGACGGTGGAGAACAAGAAAGAGAAAAAGGTATAAAACGTAATAGATACCAGAATAAGAATTGTTTGATGAAAAAAAGAAAACGATAATTTGAATTCTTTAGTGCGCCATTATTTTGAGTGAATGTTGGCGACCCATCAAATAACAGCGCACTCTGCGCTATACTTCAGTGTCCATTACTTATTTTCAAATTTTGCTGTGATTAAAAAAACAGCGAAGAAGAAATGACTTACTGACGGCTACAAGAAAGCCACAGTGTATTTCCTTGTGTACTATTGATTTCATTTCTAATTAGTAATTCTAGCGCTAAATAGCCATGATAGAGGGTATTTTTAACAATTTTATACTTTTATCTTAATAATAAATGATTATAAATTCTTGACCTGTTCAATTACATGCCAAAGAACTAATAAATTTTGCTTATGGGTGGTGTATCAATGTGAATATTTATCTATCCCTCATTTAAAAGTTCAAAAGCCAAATACACACATATGTCGTCGTGGTTCAATTTTATTTTATTCTTTTTATGATCGTACATATAATACAGAAAAGAAAAAGGGAAGAAAAAATTTCGATTCTCTCTACTTTAAATTTCTAATAGAATGAATATGAACATATAGGAGCACTGGTGAACTGTTGACCAAATATATGTATGGTAGTTCTATGTACGTACAAGAAAGAGAGAGAGAGTTCATAGCAATGATGAAACAGTATTCATTTTATTCTCATCTATTCATTGTGACGTTTATAAGTTGTTTTGTCGTTATTTTTCCTGCCTTTTCTTTTTTTTCTCTAAATCTCTGTCCCACCACCTCTGCTTATTTATGGTGAAAATTGTTTTATTTTTATGACTACTGATGTAATAATAGGAAAGAATCGATTGTATTATAATACTTACTCATATTCTAGCAGTCATCAACAACATATGCAACAGGTTCTAAACTTAACGTCGTCGTTCATTCACTAAGTTTCATTTCATAAACATTTATAAGTATAAAAACAAGTATGATGTTAATAAGTCAATTATCTCTAGGAATTTTCCTATTTCTTATTGAGCCATCGTTTACACAATTTAACTCGTCACTCCTTTCATCTCTTTCAATAACAATACCAACAACAAGCACTACAGGTAAATGGAAATATAATTAAGAAATTTAATGGGTCATTTTTTGCCAATATATGAAAACAAAATAATTCGTAAACATATGTCTTTTACCCTAAAGAGCCCAATAACTTCCTTCTCTATGGATTATCAGAAAATTACTAAATATTCTCGGATAAAACAGTTCTAGAAAATTTTAACCATTATCACATTATTTTCTCGTTAAAAGCCAATTTAACCAAGGAAAGGTTAGTGTCAATCACATGTGTTGTTTTAATAGCTCACAAAAATTCACACTATTGTCGAGAAATGCATTAATTACTAAACGTGCTGTCGAATTTTATACACTGTTTGTAGCAATAGTAAAAATACCACATGTATTTTAATTTAATGAGATGAAAATTTGAGAAGTTTTAATTTTTTAACTTCGCTATTCGTAAGCAAATGTAAGTTTGAGTGATAACATTCATATGCATCGGAAAGATGATGCACTGTTACAAACAAGTACTACAATTGCACTGTTATTTTACCTACTGTTATTAAATTAAAAAATGTTTTATTTTCAGTAAATTTGTCCGTTACTATCTGTTTTTATTAATTTAGTATTAATGCCAAATGTACCAATCACAATGACGTCATCAAACTGTTCTGCTTGTAAATATTCGTGTCGATGTACTATCGATCCTATTTTCATGTCAATGAATTGTTCATCATATCTACTAAATATCACTTATGACGGTTGTTCAACCGACTGGTATGAAATCAATTTTTCATCTCGAAATTTAGAGTATTTAAATCATGATACCTTTAAACAATTACGAACAAAACGTTTATTATTAAAATCAAATTTAATCTCATTAATTGATGATACAACGTTTACATCTATGTCGGTTATACTTGAATATCTTGATTTACAACTAAATCAATTACAACAATTAACAAATTGGATACCAACACTAAAAACACAATTGAAAGAACTGAATATTGCCTCAAATCAGTTAGAAACATTAACACATCTAGAAACATTGACAAAACTGGAAGTATTGAATGTATCAAGAAATCAAATACATGTATTTCCAAAAGAATTACACTATCTAATATCATTGATCACTCTTGATTTGTCATATAATAAACTTTCGTCAATACCAAGATATGCATTAAACGGATTAACAAATTTAACATACTTGTCATTTGCATCAAATCGAAATTTATCATGTAAGTATATATTCTCTTCAACAATTCATTCTATTATTAACATACAGAGTTTTATGGTTTTATGAAAATTGAGAAGACAAATACTGAGAGGAAAAATACATTGGTATTGATAGTTGAACTCGAGTGATTGACATTGTTCTTAGTAGATCAACGCTCTAACCCTTAAGCTACAGTCTAATCACATGTATTCGTCTGAATGATCTTAACTATCAAACAGTAGACTGCAATCGACTGACCTCTAACGAGAATTTGAATGTCTATTATATGTGGTAACAGTTTGACAATTGAAATCATTCATTTAGATACAATACATGTATTTTCTTCACAACATTTGTCTTCAAATTTTATACATCCACAAAACCATATACGTTTACTGTCATAATGAGTTCTGATAATTTTACAATTAGAAATTAAGATTATTTTTTCAATAAAGAAAAGACATTACCATCTTCAAATTTTCTGTTTTATTTTCTTCAGGTATTATTCAAGACTCATTTAAATATTTAAAATCTTTAAAATCTTTGGATTTATCTAGTACAAATTTAAAAGATTTGGATGCATGTTCATTTAATCAATTAGTCAAATTACAAATATTGAAAATTGAACTTGTTCCATTAAATTGTACATCATGTTGGTTACGAATTGCCTATGAAAACAATATTCAAACATTAGGTCAATGTATTGATGTCACTCAAACATTTAATTTATCAAATTCTCTAAGCACATTATCTCGTTGGTGTCAAACAACGGCAGTTAATTGTTCAACGGATTATTGTGAACCGGGTACATATTTAAACATTGATATACCATCATCAGCTCTAAGTGTTCAATCAAAACGTAGTCAACATAGAAATTTAGATATTATATTGGGTATCATTTTCGGTACAATTGGATTAATTACTCTACTTGTTATTGCCTTTATTTTAAATCGTTTACGGCAAGGAAAAAAACCATGTTTTTTAAATGTTAAAAAACGTTCAACAACAACATCAACAAGAACAATTGTTTCAAATGATCCATCAGTTATTGAATCGGTTGTTACTCATGGTGGAAATGGAAACAATCGTGACCAAATCTATGCCAATAATTACATAGATAAAACTCGTTCAACAAAAGATAGTAAAAAGAGACTAAATTTTGGTTACGATAAACATAATCCCGTATTTTCTACAAATCCATCACAATTGAAAAACGAGAATAATTTAATTATTGAAAATACCTATACTGGAGGAAATAATAATGGATCATTTTCGGAAGATTTGTAACTTACATAAAACAAACAATTTGTTTAATTTTTTTGATTGTAATTATCTAAAAGATAAAAGATATTGTCGCTTATAAAAAGAAAAAAAAAAAGGCTGAATAATTCTAGCAATCAGTTAAAGCATATGTTACATCCATGTAAGAAAGCTGTTGACCAAAAAATTATTCTCGATTTTAAAAACGGAAGAACGTCAAATAGATGAATGTATTTTGAAGTATACTTATATAGAATATATAAGTATCTCAAACAGAACTAATGGCATTTTCGAATGAAACAACAAACACACTCTTACTAGAAAAATAAAATTGTAAAAAAATGAAAATTTTTAAACAAATAAAACATACCACTAAAGTGTATCATTGAACACGGTAAGATAGAATAAACAAACTACGCTCGCCATCTCTTCTATCTTGGTATATTAGATTTTTAATATTTTGAACTGAGAATATCAGTTCGGCTTCTAACAGAAAGTGATCTAATGCGTAAGAAAAAATAGAGTAGTAGTGTATCAATAGAGATAGATCGTAGAAAATCAGCAAAAGTGAATATTTATTAACCAAAGTTATTACAGTACAGTCGTTAGATTGTTGTTGTAAATACTTCACTATGTCATACAATTCTATAGATGAGAGTTGAAAAGCAGAAAAAGACCTGATATTTATATTTTTACTTGTTTTGAGTTTTAAATCAATATATAACGCACATTTTCTTTGACAACTCTTCTGTTTTTTGTACAAAATATAAAATTAAATACGATCACAAGGGAGACTTTTTACGGATATGTGAGTCAAAAGATACTCAAAAACTAACATTTAGATAATATCAATGAAATCATCTCAAATGTCAGAAGAAAAAAGCGTTGTGAGTATATCAGGCACAGAATATATTGAAGAACATTTTTTTTACAGACAACTTGGAAGTAGTTATCTGATTTACTTTGTTCTACCTTCTTCTATCTGTATGGACGTTTTCAAAATCTTTATGTTCTCAAATATTCTTTCTTCTATAACATAAGTGCTTGGGATTAGCGCAGTTTACCGTTTATGGCGAAAGATTTACAAAACACTGATCATTGGTCAAAAATGAGAATGAATGTAAGTGTCCATCTTCTTTTGAAAAAAAAAATACCTTACATGTATCTTTTTTCTTTTGGAGGCTATAAAAAATTCGATTAATTCTTTACAGAAAGGGCGTGTTTTAAATTGGCAAAAACATTGTAAATCAGGTTTGTCATTGATGTTTACAACGATCTAATAATCGTTATTTTTCTAAAAAAGTTTTATGTTTAAGAAGTTGAACGAGAACTCGAGTCAGCTGCTAAAGGCAATCGTGATTTGGATAGATCTTTCTCTAAACCACCCGTTCAAGTGTACAATTTTCAAGATTTAATAACAATAGAACTTGGTGGCCGTGTGCCTGGTGCTGGTCATGCGGCAAAATATTCAAAAAAAAATGGTTATCATCAAATGGTGGATAATAGTCACCAACCAAAGCGAACACTTTGTAAGTTGAAAAATTTTATATTGAGGTGCCATCTTACATTCACTCTATCTTGTAGATTCTAAAGGTACAATAATAAGCGACAGATACACTTTAATTACACCACCATCCTACCAACTAAAGCAATTTGTAAGAAGTCGTTGTCCTGTTTTACAATGTCCATTTAAAATATGAACAAGTTCAATGGATTATTTCATCATATCGCTGTTATAAAGTGCAAGCGAATCAACTTAGTGTTTCTTTGTATAGTTTAATTTTTCATATATATAAGCAAATATCTTTTCTTCCTGCTGGTAGTTGTAATGTTTAACTTTCTTCCTGAAGAATACAAACGAGAAAGGTGCATAAGCCCGATTTATTTACCGAGTTATTAGTATTGTCAACTCTAAAATGTCATTCTTAGTATTGTTGCATATCTGGTTTCTCGAAATTCGATACTTTTCGAATTCACAGATGTGGGCTCCGAACAAAAATTCTTTTATTTTTTTCTCGTAACGTATACCGATAATTTTTAGTATGGTGTAATCGACTATCCTTAGTACGACGATAATCTCAGAATTTGAAAATATGCTGTGTTCTCTAAAACCATTGATAGGATTACTTCATCCTGTATATTCGAGTGGTGATCGCTGTGCTCCGGAGATCAGACAGCCTCGTTGTCATTCAAAATAGTATAGTGGTATGTAAAACATCATGCACTATTCGGCTTTGTGAAACCGAAAAAAAATCATAAAGAATAAGCTCCGTTTTGAGGACTTGCAGTTACCGTTATTTCTAACTGAAACCCAACGAGAAAACTACCATAAATATAATTTGACGTGTTCTGTAAAACTGTATTGCAGTTTTGTGCGCAATGAAATACTTAATTTAGTTTAAGAAGAATAAGTTCGACGTTTTGAGTTGAGTTTTCATATGACAATTTAATCACAAATTATGAAGTTTTGATTTTATAAGAAATCTTTAGTAGACATGGTTGAATAAATACAAAGTTGATTATATAGAAATTTTTCCTTTTTTCTGGTTTGAATTGGTAATATTAATAACTCGGTAAATAAATGGAGGAAAAACAGGCTATGTGCCTTCTGGTGTTTCTTAATAGAGGTTTCACAGCTACAAAAAACATAAACTGAAATTAAAAATCTGTTAGAATTGATTTTCTTTATGGGAACACCTTTGATTAATATGTACCTGCGCCACTCGCTAATTAGCTATATCTGTATCCTCCAATGTCTTTTCCGTATTTGAAATGTGTAAAATTATCGAGCATCTCTATTACTTAGAATAGTGGTGAGATTTGAACATCTCATTACATTAATATGATAAAAAACGTAAAATAAAATTGAAAAAAAAAATCAACAAAATCTGCAAGTTCAATGACAATTGACTGAAAAGAAAATTAACAAAAATAACTTTTGACACAAAAAAAAACATAAAACCATCATTCCAATGACTGTCATTGTTTGTTTGATTGATTTACTGAATGCATGACTTCTTTAGCATAATCTTTTGCGTATTTTTCTAATATATCAATTTGTTCTCGAAACTCATCACCCGATTTATTATCCAATGATGATGATGTTTGTCGAAATAAATTTGTTAACGTACTTGCTGTCGTATTACTTTCATTATCTTTTTCTTCTCGCTGTTGTTGATAGACTTTTTCACGCCGATATTCTGATAATCTTTTACAAAATAACGATCGTTCTATATCACGTTCATAATTGAAATCATCAAGAAATTTCATGAACATCATGCCTATAGTACAAGACGAAGAAAAGCATTGCTTAGAATTGAAATTTTTCTATGTGTGTTATCATCTATTTCAACACTTTTTATAGAAAAAAAAGTACTATTTTTTAGGATGTGGTACATACCGTGAATAAAATCATTCAGAAATGGAACGTACGATCTGTGTGACTGTGCTATAAGAAAATCGTCCGAAAAAAATTCATAATCAAATTTTCTCATTGACTTTTGTCTTGGTAATGATGGTTTATTTAAATGGTTTGGATCTAATTGAGTTTTATCAAATAATTTTGAGCTTGATGGTGAGGAACAGGATGATAACGATAAATCCAAGGTGTCAATTGCTGTTATCGATGATAACGTTGTTGTTGAACTTGTCGGGGATAGATTAACAATGCCGCTGTCTTGATCAGCGTCCTTACTAAAATAGTCTTTATTTATTTGAAAATGAAAATTACTGCTGTTATCATCGGTTGACGTTGTACGGTTACGTTGATAAAAGTCGGGTAATTTATATAATAATTCAACAAATACTCGTAAGAATGCTTCTGATACGGCAATATTCAATAAATTCTCATTCATTTTTGATAAACGAAATCGTACAACATATTCGAGCGAACGCAACAATATATGGTATAGGGAGGATGGTAAAACGTTAATGAGATCAGCATCGTCAAACTCTGTATACAATTTATTATTTTCCAAATCCACAAGCACTGTATCTTCGATCTGTTTTTCTCGCACCCATTGGAGTGAATCATACAAAAACCCATAAAAGAAGGGAAATGGTGTTTCACAAATATCTTTGCACCATAAAGTTGGCATCAATGAAACAAATGGATAAGGCCAAGTAAATGGATAAAGTAAACCATGAAGGCCAAGACAACACTTTGTTAATATCGAAAGTCCTTTTGCAAAGCAAATAACTCGTTTCGATTTCAACATGGCACAAAACACTTTAATAACATTAACTGGTGATAATTTTCGAAGTAGTACAGCAAAATAGTCATGATTTATTCGATTGTCTTTTGGCCATGCGTAAAAGAATACTCGACTATTATTTAAAACACATATAACAGCTGAAACACCCGGTTTTGGTATTGGTTTTGAATAAAATGATTGCAATAACAATTCACATTCCAATTCACTTGTTAAATAAGCTAAAAGAGACGACAAATTGTATTCTTAAATGAGTTTTTTCTAAAACTTTTTTGTTTAACATCTAAACATAGAACGTACCACTTGTTAATTCATTCAATATTGCATTATACAATTTATAGCATGAATATGTTGATATTAAACATAAAACGACTGGAAAAGCATGATTTTGAGTTTTTGTAGTAGTCAAACGTCGACAATAACCATATTCAATTTTACCATCAGAACAAACACGAGTAAATACAAACGTTGATGAATCAGATACTAATATATCTTTCGTTTGGACGGCTGTTGTTGTCGCTGTTAATTCTGGAAAACAAAATCGTTGATAATTTTTTATTTCATCCATAGACACATCTAAAGGATACTGATAGAGTAGATTTTCTTGATCCAATCGTAGTTCGTTTAAAGTAAGAATCAAAGCCACTTTATATAGATGCTGTTCGAGGATTTTTTGCTGTTTTGTTAAACAATGTAGACTTTGTGTTGATTTTGACAAATCAGCATATTTGAGTATATAAGAATTATTCATATTAAATAGTTGTTCATCATATGATACACCATTTATTTCAATATCTGATTTAGAATCGGACAATAAACTTAGACGTTTGAAAAAACCAATAACATTCATTACCGCTTGTTTTGATTGCATAATACGACGTTTTCTTTGAAGCTGTTCGTTTAGATTGTCTGAATGACTAACTTCTGAGTAGGCACCTGATATAGATGAGGAACAATCTGGTAATAGTACTTGATAATCTGGTATCGGTAAGGGACTTTCTGAAATAGAAATAAGACAGGAAAATGTTCGAAGAGCAATGAAAAAACTGTAAGACGATTTACCAATGCTATCTTCTTTTTGTAGTCTATCATCCGTTTTTAACGGCTCTTTTTCGATAACCTGATTCAAATTTAACGGCACAGTCGTCCTGCAAAGTGTCGATGATGAAATTTTGAAACTTGGATTGGATAATGATAAAAAATAATCGTCTTCATTAAAACCTGAATAACTTTTTGAACGATAAATAAATTTTTGTTTATTACTATTATCGTTTTGATCGTTCCCGAATGTTGGTATCAGTATAAGACTTTTGTTATTGTTTGTTGGTAAATCATCAAGAGAGTCCAATGACTGAGTTAAATTACGTACCAGACTTTGCCAATTTGATGACATTTCAAGGACGACTAAGTAATAAAAGTTCGTCTTATTCCCGAAATAATTAACAGATTTATATTGTAGAGACAAAAAAATTTACGGATGCAGAAGGAATATTTTAAATTTTGATAATGTGGGCAATTTTTTATATTGACCTAAGAATTATTAAGTAGTGTAGTGTACGTTCAAATATGTAAATTGTAGCTGGCAAGAGGTGTCAAGAGGACGATATAGTAGTTTATGACTAGTAGAAAATGGACTATTTTGTTAGTTCTCTTACCATTCTTTAAATTTGTATAGGTTCTAAAGCCGGAAAAAATATAATACAAAACAAATATACAATATTCACGTAAAATATTTTTGACGTACAGAACAAAGAACGGACAGACAGAGTTTATGTTTTTATTACTTAAGAAATAAACTTGCTTTTTTTCACTTTTCGAATGAAAAAAAAAAATATCACAAATATTTTGACTTTTTCTACTGAAACACAGAACCATCTGCGAAAATATTTTTTCTTACTTCAAAAAAGTTTTTTTAAACCAAATAGTAAATCTTATAATTATCGGTTATATTACGTATCGACAAAACGACAGAGGTCGTAAGCAAACACCACATTTCTAAACTTTAGTTTTTCAAAATTCTTATATAAAATCTTATTGAAGAAGACGAAGATTAGATTAGACATCCATCTCTCTAAGATAGAACTAATAAAGTTCATGATTCCATCATAGCAGGCGTTTCGTTTCTACAACTTGATACATCTAAATTGCAGAACTAGATTTAGCAAATCGCTATAAGATCTTTTTATTTGACAATGAGACAAATCAGATATCTCCGTTTCAATATGAAAAAGATTATATATAAAAAAATTACAGCAATATTTCAACTGGATGTGCAAAAAAAAGGTTTGACACGTCGTATCAAAATAAAACTAAAACATGACAAAGTGAAACAAACATCTAGTAACTTATTTAAAAAATTAAATCATCATTTCTAAATGGTTGCAGACTAAATTTGTTGGGATTCGCTAAAGCATAACGAATTTCCCATCGAAGTGACGAACGTTTCTTCTCCGTTGGAACAACATAATTATTCACACGAGGTGGCATCTTTCGCTAAAACGAAAAATTTAACGATTTCTTAATTATATAGGAGTATCATCCATTTCTCCGCAAGATCTGAGGTACGTAGCTGTTCCCTCTTCACTGAAATTGTGATCAAGAGGAAACGTGTGGATGCCCTAGTCAAAGGACTCATACTATGAGTACGACTTCACTCATAATTCATCCATGAGCGCTCATATGAATTCTACTAACAATTTTTGAGTATTTTTACTCAGTGACTACTCAGTTACTCATGCAATTACTCAGAAAATATTCATTCACTGTTGTATTTTTTTCAAAAATGAAACTGTATACAGAACGTAGAATTTGGTAAAGAAACATAGAATATTTATATTACTTATTTCTCGCTGATCTCTCTGTATATTGTCAGAGATGGACTGGTCTGTGAATAGACTTGTAGTTCAACTCTGTTTGCCTGAGATCACTCCTCTATATGAATAATACCAAATGAACAATACTCATGAGTATTTTGCCAAAAGTTATATGAGTACTCATAGTCGTACCTATAGTACTTATTACTCACTCATGGGTATTTAATGAGTAAAAAAATGTATAAGTACTCTTGTGTACTTCTCACCTTTTTCAGTATGAGTATTATGCATCTGAGTACTTACACTTGAGTACATTCAGTAGGATAACAAAATTGAAAACTCATATTATCGTGTTAAAAGTTCTCTTTTATATGAATAGTTCCGCTTTTGGAATTGTCAACGATTATTGGTAAAATATTTTAGTAAACCCTACTGCTGCAATAATTCACAACATTTAAAATTCTAAATTGAAAGTTTATCATAACTTATTCACGTCAGAGCTATTGCGCTCTCTATAAAATTTTATGCGGCAGTTTGCCTCTAGCATACAAAATGAGCATCGCTGTATTACATATGTCAAACTGTCAATCAGCAAAATCACACATATTATCTGTGTAACTCACTTTTATCGGTACATCATGACGTCGTAGTAATTGGTCTCTAACTGACCATCTCAAACTTTGATGTGACTTTTCACCAGGAGCGCGTTGAGATTGCCACTGATTTTTGTAGTAGGAATATAACTGAACAGAATCACTATTGTTATTGAAACTACTATTTGAACGTCGAATTGAAGAGGCTGACGACGATGGACGAATAACTAAAAACAGAAATCAATAAACAAACTACCACTGGACGACGAAGGAATAGGTTTTTCTCAGCAAAAGACGATTAAATACAGTTCAGACGTTTACTTACATGATTTGACTGCATGAACGGTATTTGATGACGAACAAGTCTAAACGAATATCGTATTTATACCAATATTTCACTCTTGCTCAGTTTCAAAATACACAAAATTGAGTACCTGATCACTATAATCTGATCGTGTATCATCATTATCATTTTTTATACGACAAGTGTTTCGGAACTTATTGTTACTATGTAATGAATGATTCAAATAATCTCCATCGCGCGTATCAATAATTGAGCTTGTTTCTAAAATAACAAAGTTAATATTCTAATTCGTTTAACTATACTTTATTTACCGGATCTAGACTCATCGAATACAGTTGCTGCTCCATTGTGATGTCTACAATAATAATAACCTGTATTTATTCTGAGACTGAGAAGCACCTCTCTATCATACCTTAAAACTTTTCGTCGAACTATTCTTTGAGATGATTGGCTGTGATTATCATCATCATCATCATCATCATTATTCACATTGCTTATATAATTCTGTTTTGTTCTGGATGTTCTGAATATAAAGGAAAACTGTCATTTCTTATTTTTTTAAACAGATGACCCATATAACTTACGATAACCTTGGAGTGATTGATTGTGTATTTATTGCATCGATGAGACTTTCGTCGTCAACGTCGTTATAGTTATCTTCATTATCTGACTGTGTCTGTCTGTTAATTGGATGGATCTAATATATGGAGTGGTCGAATTATTGCTAAATCAAGACATACCAAGAAAAGAACTTACTGTGAAATCAACATTTGATTGCACATTTCGTTTTTGATCAACTTTAACTAGAACAAAAGAACCGGACTTTGATGCAATGGTGCTCAAAACTAATGAAATAACAATACTTTTTTCTTGTTCGCGTTTAGCTTTGTCATTATGAGCTAAATTGGACAGATCTAAATCCAATGAAAAACAGATTTGAAGTACTAAGAAAAATGGAATGTGTCATTCACCTTTTTGAAACTGAAGCAATGTTTGTTTTGATACACCATCATAGCCACATCGAGCTAATTCTTGACGAATTTCTTCGAGTGAAAATAGAGTATTATCTGTAGAATTGGAACGATAAGTCATTCGAATATTTTAACAATACCGACGAAATCTTTTTTTCTAAAACATAATGAAAATGTCAGATCGCGATCGAAGAAACACGCAGTTGCTCGCAGTATAATGATATTTCTTTTAACGCATTTTCTATGCGTTAACGAATCTATCTATCACACCAACAACTTTTCATTCGCAGTCTGTATACGCTGAACAGCAAGGCTTTTACAAAGACTTTGTGTTATAATGCATCGACTAAACAAAGAGAGAAAATTTGCTAAAAAAATACGCTTTCAAATGGGATTCATTTATGAAAAAAATGTAACCATCACAGTGCCTCTGTAAAAATCATTTCTGATTCGCGATCACATTATCTAAATGGACCAATTCCATGCTTTTCAATTCGTATTGGATGATCAAGACAAATTAAGCAAGCTACGAACTATGTATATAAGGACAACATGATTTATCGAAAAACTTCAGAATTTTTTCCATGACTTCTTGAAATGTGAACTTCGACTTATCGTTAGTCTAAATATCTTTGGGACTGCATCTAAGAGTCCTGGCAAGCAGACAGGTACTGTTCAGACCAAAATTTCGCCGGTATGGACTCTGACTAACAGACAGTTTTACTGCATTGAACACATGAACACACTCAAAAGAAAACTGAAAAAATGTTCAGAAGAGGATTTGTACTCATATCGCTTGTTCAGCAAAAATACCATTTCATTAATCACGATTAACCGAGCATTTTGTGCCAGTTCGCGGTTAATTGTGGTTAACTGGACGGTTAATTGTGGTTAACTGGACGGTTAACCGAGGTTAATTGGCGGTTTGATAAACATGGGCTAGATATGCAGATTTCAAAGGTTCGAATATCCATTTTGAGTGCTGAACTTGGTCCTGCGTTTAATGTTAGAGAAAAGCATTCTCTTACTACTAGAGACTTCCAGAAAGCCTTTCAAAAACAAGTAATTCGTATTAATTTTTAAAACTTTTGTTAAAATCCAGAATATACGGCACTGGAGTATAGTTGAAATTTTGGTGTAGTCTGGATTGATTTTGACTAAGTTATGATAAAAAAATTTCGATGAAAATAGCATGAAGTGGGATATTTCATCTACTATAGGTTGTCACCAGGTATGAAATTCTTCTGAAAATAAATGTTGCCACGAGACTCAACATAGTCGAACATCTATGTCCCAAGTTATTTTTAAGGTTATCAGAGTTAATCGGGCTGAGATAGGTAGGTCAGCAACGTAGGGGGCCCAGCAAAACCTATGCGCTAAGAAAACCATGACACCTAGCGGTCTCGGACTTGTTTAATTTTTTAGAGGATACTTTTGGTTATTTAACCATGTAACTTAAGCTGAACATTTATTTGGATTTGGGTAACTGGCGTCGTTGTCTTGTTTTCATTTGTCATGTACCCAGATTGATATTCAAACTTTTGAAACCCGCATATCTATGTGAATATATGGTTCTTATTACACGATGGTGAAAACCGTGTGTTTCCATCACTTTTTATTCTCAACTTATTCAAAATATAACCACGATCATTCGATATTGCATTAGACAGTGATCTACAGTTTATTAAATACAAGCGGCTAGTTAAGAGCAACAGTAGCAGACAACATTATGAAACATGCATATCTCTTGTAATAAACAGAAATACTAACACGCATAGTTTTGAAAGAACAAGTAAGTACAACAGCAGAACAGAGAATAATGAGTAAACAATAATAATCTACTTTAATGAAGCAGTGGTTTGATGAAAACGAAGTGAATTAGTAATGATAGTTGTAGATAAATTGTCGATACATTCGCTATTAACATTTGTAAACATTTCAAAAAATTCCTGCTGCATGAAAACAAGCTTCTAATTGTTGCTTGTTCATCTTCTCTACTGCTGTATTAACTTATTCTTTCGTACTAAACGCTCTATACGAGTTGATGTGTTTGTTTGTTATAAAAGATATGCATGTTTTATAATATTATGTCTGCTAATATTGCACTTAAATACCTTCTGAATAAGTAAGTGTACTTGACCCCAAGTAGATATGTGCAAGACGCCCTAACCTTACTCTACAAGATAGGATAGAGTAACCGTTACCCTGCATACCTCTGGGTCCAAGGCTTCCATAATGAAACTGGTACTTGCCTTGGTTTTCAGAAATAAATTTATCTGTAGGTATTTTCTCATTGGCAAGTACTTTCACAAAGTGCTTTGTAGTAATAAAATCAAGTATTTCAGTCTTGAAGTACCTATAAAAGTTTATGGCAAGTAAGTAGTTTTGAAAATACTTGTCAATTTTTTCGGATAATCATGTACTTAGATCAAGTATTTCCACTAGGATTGTTTGAAGCTTAATAAAATGAGCACAATAATAACTAATTTAAACAGCGCAACTATGAACGCAGATTTAATAAGTGTTGCATCCTATATGCGAAACCTAAGTGGAATCTAATGAAAACAGCAATCAAACACATCCGAAAGGAATTTCATTTCACTCCAATCTTACAAAAAACTTCAAAATTTAAAGTCACATCTTGACAAAACAAAGAGACGTGCACATGTATGGTTATACGCAGTGCATAAAAAAAAGACAGTCTTCACCTGTCATTAAAGACCGTACAATGTTGATCTAACTCAGATTTTGTGTCATGTGCGCTACACCTCAACAAAGGGTACGTTTTTTTTGCAGTGCAAGCAAGCGTGCGTTATTAATACAATATATATCGATAATCAAAAGGGTAAGCAAAATTTCTTTTTCGTTTTTTTTGTCATAGTTGACAATGAGTTACATAGGAAAAACTAAATTTCAGGTGTTTCGATAAGTCACTTTTGCGTAAAAAATTTCAAAAATACTAATTTTTGAAAATGATCAAAAATGTGTAAAATTTTGAAGAAAATGCTATAAAAGACTAGTTTTAGTATTTATAAAATATAAAATGACTCTTGTCCAAGGCAAGCAGAACAGAGAATGCTTCGCTAGGACCTAACTAGTGTTTTCATTTATTGTAACGAAATATCGCCTCTCCTCTCATTCGCTTCCTCATTCCCACCAGTTATGTTCAGCACTCTATCCGTTAATCACTCTCATCGTTCAGTCTGTCATGTATTCTGTCTTTATGTATCTTCAATATCCCACTCATTGTTTAATCCTCTATTCTTATTTCATTGTCTTCTGCATTATATGTGCAAAGATGTGTTAGTAAGGCTGAAGTGAAACTAAGTGACATTTTAAATAGCTCAATGGAAGCAAAACAAGGGAAGTGACACCTAATGTTTCGAAGTGACTAAGTGGCATATGAATGCCATTCTGAAGTGTGTTCACCTATTTTGGAGGTTTTTTCCCTCTTAGATTCAGCCTAACAAAAAATCTTTGTAATGGATGTTTACTGCTAATGAACATATTTTATTATTCTAGATTTACAGTAGTTCATCGTTTATCTATTTCTTTTTAAATTAAAAAACTTTAACATGTCTTCTGATTATGAACGAAAATTGATTCAAATGCAACAGGATATTCGTGAGAGTAATTCATACTTACAAGATTATATGACAGATTTAAATTCGTGGACAAACGATATAAAAATAAAAGAAGACTCACTGAAAAATAAACGAACATCAAACGAAGAAGACAACAGCAATTTACCACCAATTCGAAATTTTATTGAACCGTCAAAAAAAAAGAAAAAAAAGAAAAAATCATTGCCACCAATAACAACAACAACGCAACCACCAACAACAAATGAAAAAATTCGTGCGTATGATTATCGATCATGGGATAAATTTGATGTTGATGCTGAATGTGAACGTATAGATACAAATGAACAAGATGATAAAGAAACTAAAGACGAAGATGAAACTGAAACAACAGATGAAGAATGGGAACAAGAAGTACTGAAAAAGAAAGCGGAATATAACAAAGAATGTGGTAATTATCAATTTAAATTAAAATCGTATAATCAAGCGATTGAATATTACACAAAAGCGATTAATTGTGATTCAACCAATCCTATCTATTTTGCTAATCGCGCACAATGTCAGCTGTTAGAACAACGTTATGGTGCATGTGAATTAGATTGTACACTTGCCATACAGTTAGATCAACTATATACAAAAGCCTATTATCGTCGTGCATTAGCTAGAATTGAATTGAATAAATTAGACGAAGCTAAAAATGATTTGGAATTTGTACTGAACAATGAATCCACAAATCGTCAAGCAAAAGAAAAGTATGATGACATAATGAATAGAATTAAACTGGACGAATTGAAACGAAATGGACGAATATATCCAATTCAAAAGCCAGTCGAACAACGTTCAAAAAAGCCACTGAAGCATATTGATATTGAAGAAATCGATACAAATATGATTATGATTAAAAACAAAACAAAAAGATTATTGATCGAAGAAGTTGATCAATCAGATATAACACAAACGGAACCAAAGAAAGAGATCATTAACGATGAATTAGTTGATAATAGACAAGAACCAACTTCAACAGTAGTTGAAGTCTCTTCTGAACCAGTCTCTCGTACAAAATTATCTGATGAGACAAAGAAAACAAATGTGCGCTACTTAGTACCAACAACTGGTTTTCAATTTCGTCGCGATTGGATTAGTTTGAACAATAACTATGAACATCAGTCGATATATTTTAATAGTATACCATCAAAAATGTACTCAACGCTATTTTCGAATGGTCTGGATTCAAATATATTTACAACTATTCTTCAAATTTGGTCAAATAATCCGAATATTGATGTTATTATTGATTCAATGTATGAAATGAAAAATATCAAACGTTTTCATACACAATTGATGTTTTTAAGTGAAAATGATAAACAATATTTAAATACTATTCTACAAAAATTATCGACTGCTGATAAATCATTAACAGAAAAAGTGAAAATAATTATGAATACTTATAAATCATAGAGAATATGTGTGTTATCTTACTTTTTTTTTGTATGTTTTGTTTTTTTTCATTCATTTTATAAAAAAGATAAAAATAACACTAGAATACTCGCTGTTGTTTGCATAGGACAAAAAATGCTCAGTTATAGACGCAAGAGAAAAACAATCATGTATGGTATGTCTATTATATTATCGATGTGTTTAGTATGAAGATCCTAGGTATTTGTTTTACGACTGTTTTTATATTTAAGAAAGATAATATTTGTAGTTTTGTTGTTCATTTTAGAAATACTTCCACGTGTATTTGGTTCATCAAAAAAATACACAATTGAATGTTTGCAGTTTGAACACATTATCATCATTATTTGAGAACTTGGAAGGATTAAAACAATGAAATTTATCTCTAAATAAATTTATAATATCTCCCACAGTAATATTAAAATTAAATGATTTTTTGAATTTCTTTTCAAATTATATAAACTAAAGTACCAGTTGAAATTGAAGTATTACAAGTTGATGAATTAAATTAAAATTAAAATTGAGTAAGCAATTAATGTAATAGTATTCGATGATTAGATTGTCTATTTTCATCTGATTTTAAATTATAGAAATGTCGTATGAAAAATCACATCAAAGCTATGATGGATATGATCAGGTAGAATGCTCTATGATACTGATCTCTATGTGTCTGAAATATTTTTTTCATTGTTTAGTATATCCAACGTTATAAGAAGAAAATTAGAATGAAAACAGCAGTAGAATGTCATTATGTGAATCTCATTTGATCTTATAAATTCTAAAAGAATTTATTAAAACGTCTTATTCATAATTTATCTTTTCATGGTTGTTGATGGTTTTTATAATATAAATGTATCTGTTTTTCTTCTTCTAATAATATTTGATTTTCTCTTGTTAATTTCAAGCGGTTTCTTCAAAACATATACAATAAGAATAAAAGTCAATTGGACAAATTCGGTTTTAATAGCTAAATTCAACTTGTAGAAAAAATGTAATGCTTAAATATATCATCTGTTCATCGAGACACTTGAATTTAGATTACTTTATGTGGTTGTACAAGACGTTTTATTTCTTATTTTACCTATATATTTAGGTCTTGACAAAATGATTGTTAAATTTTTATTCTTTACTTTCAAATATATTTTATTGTATCTGCAAGAAGCAGGTATACTTTTCAAGTATATGATTATTATGGAGACAAGTTTGCCTTGTAATTAACTTTTTTTTATATCGTAAAATTAAGATAATTATTTTACGTGCTATGAAACAAGAATAATTACGAAAAATAAAATATTTTAAATGTATCCGATCAAGGCAGTTTCAGAATCACCCTCTAATTATGTCTTTACCACTTACTTTAGAGGTACGGTGTTCGATATTAATCCCAGCAAGTTGTATTCTAATATTGAAAAAACTATCTATATTCATGTGCCTCGACATTCATCTGCATATTTCTACGTTGTGACGTGTAACTGTGTATATGGAACTCAAATGGTTGCGACTCTGTGTCAAACTGATCTTCTGTCTAGAGCTGCCGTCAATGATTGGTAAGGTATCGGATAACTACCATTGAAGATTTATGAGCTGCAAGGAAGATATCGGACTACTTGAAACGGACAAGTCTGTTTTGGTAGTACTGTACACCAACAACAACAATAGGCTGAAAGCGGCGGGTTGTTCTTTTATGCTAGTTTTTTTATTATGATTATTACTTAATGCTTCGTACAACTCATCTCATTTTAACTTCATTTCTTATAAATCCAATTTTACGTCATTACCATGTAGAAATTCTACTGAGAATTGCAAAAAATGAAATTGAGATGAGATATATATGAGAACGTATCTAGGAAACTATAACTTTTTCCTTCTTCTCGTGTTCAATAAACAAAATTGCGAGGCAAACTATATGTCTGAACATATGGTTAAATGAACTCACTACTAACCTTTTGTTAGATATCTAACATGAATATTGGTTGATAAACAACAATATAATGACAATATAATGTGATTAGACCGATATTTTTAGTAGATGAGAGCTAGAACATTAATTTAGATATCTGTTGTCATAAGAAATGTTTTTCTTGTCCTATTTGCTTGTCGAAGCCAAGACAAAAATTATAGTTTTCTAATTAACAATAGACCTATTTTATACTAAGTCAAAGTCGCAATATGTTTATTTAAAGATTTTTCTCCGATTGATGTCTGGGTAGCATAGGAATGTGTGTGTTCAAAGAATAATTTCGTTGGTAATCAGGAGAAAGAATAGAAAATAGAAAAGAAATAAAGACTCATACACAAACAAAGTACTGCATTATAATCTTTGGGTAAATGCAAAGGCGTTTATTTTGATTTTTCCTTTATTGAAATGTATTTTCTCATTCTCTCGTTGAAATATATTTTTTTTTCAACATGAACGCTTTCGACGCAATTGCGAAAAAAATGAAAAAGAAAACGTCTTGTTTTTTTTATTAACAGTTGAAAAAACCTATTAATAAAATATTGCTATATATATTTTTTTTTCTTCATCTATAAGACTATTTTAACGTCCATCTTTTTTTTTTGTTGTTCTGTCTATTTGAGGGAAACGAATACTTTTGTTCTGTTATTATTGTGAACATAATGTTCAACAGTACTCCATTTCTTCTCGATGAGAGCGAGAGAAACTTCTTACAAATTTTTAATTGCCTAACTTTAAGTTTTATAAGAATAAGCTTTGTTAAGTTCGATTTCTGATGAGACAAACGCACACAATGATTTAGGTGAGAAGAAAGATAAGATAAGGGAGAAAATGAACATTCCACAGATAATGACAAAAAACAAAATAATTTTCTTAAATAAGTCGTACTAGCAAGTTCTTAGTAGCTCAAGTCCATTAATAAAGTTGATACTAAGCAAATTTTACGTACATTCAACAGTCGAGGATTGATGAAATAACTTTGAAAAGCGTTTATCTACTCTAACTGGATGATTCATTTTTTTCGTAAGAATAGGTGTAATTGTATGTCAGATCTGAAATGAATGCGTATGTAAAGAAACTAGTGATTATTCGTCGATCTCTTTGAACAAGTTATTCTACTATAGTGCACACAATCTATATTGTCAGCATCATTTAAAAAGCTCGAGTACAAATGGTTGAGTAGATAAAATAAGCGGAAAAGTAATACTTTATTGTTCGAGTAAATAATTATTTTAGTTAAAATAAAGTGAACATGCATGGTACTGGAATATTAATTAATCTTGCCTTGTGAAAGATCCTTTTACTTACCTGTTTAGAATCCTGTTATACTTTTTACATGGAACGCCTCTGACAAATGAGGATGATATATCGATTTCATTATTAAACGTCAACAGGAAGAAACAGGAAAGAAAAAGACTGAAATTGTGTATAGAATACGAATCCTTTTATATTTACTCGAACTTTAGCGAAAAAAATTAATATAGTAAACCGGTGTAATGGGCACGTTTTTCTCTTTTTATTCAGTAAGATCTCAAACACATGTTTTTATCACAATCTCGGAAAAAAGTTCTCTGCTATTCTTTTATATGTTTCAGAACAGAATTTTATTCTCACTTCTATTCTTTTTCTCGTTCTCTTATTCTCCATCATCTTTTTTTTCTTCTATGAGAATAAATTTTTATTTTATCTTAATTAATAAACTCTATTTATTTCGGTGTGTGTCTGCATATAAGCAGCATGGCTGGGACTGATAAGTTTATATTAATAAAACACAATATTCATTTTACCCATTAGGGTAGCCAAAGATGCCCTGGTTCGTTGTTATTTTTGCATTCTTATTGTTATCTTCATCAGTACCATACACATCCACTGCTCCGTCTCATCATCACACCATCTCTTTGACTGCTAACGAATTGAACAATGATACGCATCACCATCAACTAAAATCAACTCATGAATTAAAACAAACAGAGAATTCTCGAGACGATAATTATCAAAATTCATTAAAGATTAGACAAAAACGACAAATTACCTACGACTATGACAATTATGTAAACGATGACGATATTGCTGATTATGTTGAAAATAATGATGTTAAAAAAGAAGGTTATTTAGGTAATAACGTCTAAAGATAAATTTATTTGATGGAACTAAACTCATAATGAAACTGCGATAGCGAATGGTAAAAATCAAGGTACTATCAGATCCTATGAGATTTCTACAAGAGCTTACAGCAGATATGATAAGGCGAGTATTCCAAGTGCCTAATTGCTTTCTAACTGTAACATACTTTTTCTGAAGTAACTTTTGACGTTGATCACGAATCTAATATCCATTTGTGCCATTATTCCCTTCTTGGATGGTTCTCTGAAAACCGGGTATCTGAAGATCCAGTATGAATTTTCAGTTGAACCCATTCTGGCAGTGGCAGATTGAGAACGTCAAGTTACCTATTTGGAGAAATTTGTCTGATCAATGAACAAGTTTTCGCAGAGATACAAACGGCGCAAAAAACTCGAATTCAGTTTGCGTACTGGATTCAACATTCAAATCTTTTGAATCTTGCGAAAACTTGTTCATTGATCAGATCTCCACATAGGTAACTTGACGTTCTCAATCTGGCACTGCCAGAATGAGTTCAACTGAAAGTTCATATTGAATCTTCAGTGACACGGTTTTCAGAGAATCATCCAAGAAGGGCCTAAGGGCACCAACGGATATCAAACAGACATGTAGGATGCTTCTCTCGTGAGCATCAATAGAAAAGATTTCTCCGAAGCGATTCTGCGTCGTGGAAGTCCTGAAAGATGGAAAAAATATATCCAATTACAACAAATATCAAGAATATAAAAATAAGAGGTCATCGACACTCTCTAAAAAAGGTTTTATACCAAACGTTAGAAAAGTGTCCTCATCTCTAAACCCTTTTAGATTCCGACCAACTAAAAGGGTTCAATACAATTTCATCAAACAATTTGCTTTACTTGTTTAATTTGGTCTAATGTTATTCTGAAGATTCGAGTTTAGAACGCATCTCGTGGATCGAACTTTGATAGTGAATGTAAACAAATGAGAACGGTTAATTTCAGGAAATAAATCTAAATGAAATTTTGTCAGTCAATTAAACTTTTTCAAATAAAGAGAAAAGAAATATTTTTCTGAGATACAAATGTCACGTAAAAGTAGTCTCTGGAGGATAAACAAAAAACTAGGTAATAACGAGACATTATGTCTTTAGCATCTTTATAAGGGCCATGAATGTAATACTAATGATTTATTCGTGTGTGTCTTATTTGATACTAGTTTTTATTTTCTGCAATTTGAAAATTCAATATTTTAATAAAAAAATGTTTTGGTCAGAGATCAGTTTTTTAAGCAACAGTTATCCCACGATTTTTTTCAGTAAAATAAACGTTGTTTATACCGAGCATTGAAGATCTAACTACATTTCGTACTAACTTATCCCTGACATTTCAATGCGTACAGTTTCATTTCAGGCTGTCGATATGACATCAATGTATGTGATGATAATGAACAATGTCTTGACGGTAAGTTCTCCTTTATATTACAAACTCTTCTGTAGTACATGAAGATTATTTTTCATTTATTTTTAGATGGTTTGTTCGGACAATGTTTAAGTGGTATCGGTGAAGGACAGTATAAAAATTCGGTGTCGGTAAAACATATTTTAAGTGATGACAAATTGATTGCACTTGAAATAACATTTGATTTTCTTAAACGTTATCAATTAAATTGGCGAGATTATGCTACACAATGTATTTTAATTCGATTATTAAAAAGTCAAGGTGTTATTAACGCAAATTTATTAAACAAATTTTATGTTCAATGTATAAATGAAGACGAGATATTAGATGAAATTTTATTGAATAACGACAATGATAATGATGATTTACATCCAGTACCATCACCATCATTAGATAGAAATGAGAATAATCACCGACGGTATATACAACTTGATGGTGATCTGCTACATGATCCCGAATTTGATTTAGTATCATGGAAAAATACCGAAAAAAGTCGAGGAAGAAGTAAGAATTACAGCAACGGTTGAAGTTTAACATATTAAAAGTTAGAATCAAATTAGATCAACATAGAAATATACACTATTTTCTGTTTAGAAATATATGACGGAATGTGGTATGATCCGTACATTAATAGTCAAACATCTTCGGATGATTTTATAATTGATTTGAAAAAATTACCTCATTCGTTATTTGAACATCATCATCGTAAACCAAAAATTAATTCTCAAGATTCAATCTATATGGGTGATAATAGAGCTGTCGAAGCACTTTACTATTCTGATCCAATTATTGATCAGTCAATCATGAGCAGTATGTGATTTGTGTAAATACGTTAGATATTATATTCTTATCATTTTAGAAAATCCACGAAAAATATCACCTAAAATAAGAGAAAAATATCCTGACCTAGCCGTAGCGTTACAAGTGAATAACAACAAACAACAAGTTCCAAATAGGATTAATTCAGCAACGATGAGTAATAAATAACTTTCTGATAAAGCTTTAATAAAAGTATATGTCGGTTGTTTTTTTGTATTTATTAGCTGGAAAACATGGAAAAAATGTTCAAGAGAAGAATAGAAACAAAACGGATATAGACAATAATCGATATTATAAAGTTGAAACAGATAAAGGATATATCGTTATCAGTAGAGAGTAAGTTAGCTGCTATATATCCTAGTAATAGAACACACTCTTGTCACTTTTCTCAATCATTGATGTCATATATCTTGATTTTCAAATGTTATTATGTTTCGTACGAGTTTTTCACAGAAAATTAATGTGTATCTTAGCAATGATAACAAAAAAATATAAGAAATAAATGGCTCTAAGATAAGCGGTTCTAAAAATGATGATCGCTAATGGACAGAGTTGAATGACTTAGGCTGTTTGGCTATTTAACGGGCTAAAATTTTTAATTAGAATTTGTTCAGTCATTAAAACTCTTTGGTTATCATTAATTTGATATTATTTAGTTACAATATACAAAAAAATTGATAAAGCGATCAATATCTGAAATAATTCACTGAATGTAAGAACGTTCCAAAAATTACTTTTGGTGTAAATTATTCTTTCACCTTTCATATCGAAGTCTTTCTGCATGTTTCGCATTTAAAATTCGTTTTTTCTATAGGTTTAAAGATCAAATGGAAGGGTCACGTTTATTAGCCTTGATTGCTGAAATCAATAGATGGCCGCTCTCGATATTCACAGAACTAAAGTAATTCTTATATCATGTATAAAAACATTAACATTCTATTGTATATTTTAATGTATGTTTTTTAGTGTTGATCGAGATGTTGTAACGTTTCATTTAATAGATAATCCTTATCGAATAAATGCAACAAATGTCGCCAGTTCAGCAAGTAAGATTCATCTGTCTTTTAAAATAAAGTATGTGTTGTTTTAAATGATGTTGCTTTTACTTTGTATGAGAGAAATTTTATGCGTTAAACGATTAACCCGTGTCGATAAACCTGTTTTACTTATTATGATTAATCGATGAGATTAATTAATTTTCTCGTATCTACGACTTTCGAATACTAAAACTTTTTTACTATTTTTTATTTATCAATATAACAGAGTAGAATCAACTTTTTTCAGCAGGTGTTGAACAACATTAAATTGTTCAATGAATAGATCTGATGTGGTGTTTTTTTTCTTGTATAAGATCATTTTTCAACTAATTTTTATTCGTCACAGTTAGTATGAGACACGGACGTTTGATTAATAAAATCTTCACATTTCATCGGCTGTAACATGTTAAATAAGCTGTTCAGTCAACTCTATAACGGAAAAAGGTTGTCCATTTAGATAAGTATATTGTTCTGAATCTTTTTCTTTTACAACAATAAAGATGTAAGTCAAATGTTTTTACACATTTTGGTTTGATTGTTTATTCGTTGTCTTTTTGTAGGCGGATATTTAAAGACTTCCTTGGTGTTGTGATAGGAATAGATAGATATACAAGTTGTTTCGTATTCCTCTGTTCGCCTGTTATTTTCATTGAGTAGAAGAAAAAAAGAAAGCAGAATGCAAATTATTCATACTGGCATTCTCATTTGTTCTTGAACGTTATTGTATTTTTAATTAATCCTCATACTTGACAATCGACACCCTATCTGTACAATCAAATGCTTTTTATATTAAACAGGGAAAGACAGAAAGACAATCTGAAATGATACTGAGTATTGGGAATTCAGTTTTTTAGATGAGAGAAGAGGACATAGAATCCAGATCATTAACAACACTGTAACTTTTAATAGTGAAAAAAAAAATTACAATAAACTACACTTAGATTGATTTGGCTAGTTTCATAGAATAGTACATGAAAAAATACGTGCTTTAGAACTGTTACAGGAAACTCTAATGCACTCTGTTGAGTTTTGAATCTACCATACTTCCGTTGCGCTGTCTTTTAAGTATGCTACTAATTTTTGTCGAAAAATAAAAGAACGAAAAGATTGCTCAATGTTCTTTAACATGATTGCATGCTATATTGTTTATTTTCCTTATTACGGAACTCGAAACGTAAGGAAACGTCAATTTAGAGTAGATAAGTAAAAAATCATGTTCTATAGTTTGGTTAATATGAAAAACTAAAAAACTTTCAGATACATTGCAATATTTCTGTAGTCGAAGTGTCAATAAATTATTGCTTTCTAATGACCTTATGAAATTAAACTAATTGGTGATGGAAAGTGTGGTCATTTTTCTCCCTAGATCGCGATTGTTTTAGCTGAAACGATCTACGTTTAATTTCCTTTAACATAGAGAAAGATGCCGTCGTATTGCATGTTTAAAAAAAGAAAGTTGCATGTCAATTCAAAATTGTCTGATAAGATTCTTTCTTTTTCCTTTTTGGTAGTATGCAAAGTGAAGTTATCATCAAAAGGAGGAAGGATATAGTTTCGTTTTTATTTTTAATTTTGATTGACTTATAATTGATTCTCAATTGTATTTTATACATCTTCAGACTCAACTATATGAAGAGAAATATGTCTCATGTCTACTTGTTTTCCGCCATGGGACAATAAATAGTTTCTTCTCGTTCATAAGATAGACGAAGAGAAAAACCTTGATTTTGTTGCATTAATAGATCTATGATTATTTAATTGTAATTTTTGTTTTGTATTTTTATTTTTTAGTTAATGTACAACAAAATATTGAAAGTCAATTGGGTATACGCATTATCGATGCTGGAATTGGAGCTGTTCGTGTAAGTAGATAAACAGATATTTCTTATGAAAAAGAAATGCTTCAGATGATTTAGACACGGCCATAAATGACCATAAACAGAAACTTACGGTCAGTTTTAGACGCCAAATCCTGTAATTGTTTCCTACAGTAACGCTAAGTTACGGTGATTTCTAGTGGTCGTTTCTAGCTGGCGTACCTGTTATAAACGGTCGTTTACTGCTTTTTCAATTATAAATATTATAGGCATGATAGCGCAATACAGGACCACTGTAAATGATGCGACAGACATAAAGGCGCATCGTATTTCCGCCGTTTATGGCTGATTACAGCGCCGTAACAGTCCCCATCCCCATAGACATGAGTGCGTAGAATTTTTTCAATTGAAAGATATCTAGTCCAGAGGCCATCGCAGGGCAACTTTTTTCGCCTTGCCCTGTCACAAAATTATTCATAAGTTTTTTTTGGCCTTGCCCTGCTCGGGTAGGACGCTCTGCAGTGTAAAAGAAAGTTTTTCTCCTTAACCTCAAAGACTTTATCTTCAAGAAACTCATTACAAATACTGGATGTGTTTCTCGTGCTAACAGCATCTTTTTTTTAATATTAATTATCAGTTTTAGAAAAGTTGGCTGTCATTTTTATTTTCACGTATACGAGAGATCTCAAAATTTTACTTAAAAAGACGCTTGAAAATCTCAAAAATCAATCTCTCGCAGGACAAATCAAGGAATTTTTTATTGCCCTACGCTGTTGCAGAGCAGGGCGGCAGGACAACAGGGCAGCTCTGTCCTGCGATGGTCTCTGCTTTAGTCTCAACTTAAAAAGCAAATGATAATAGAGAAGACTTGAAAACTTTTGGATCATAGAATTGACTTTAAAACTGTCATTACAGGTCATGCCCACTCTTCATTCGATAATAAACGAGTTAGATAGATTTAGTTAGTTCAAATTTTTTCAAGCCATCTAAAGTCTCTTGTAACAGAAGCCATTTTATTTTAACAGTAGTATCCAGATTTTTAATATTAAATGCATTTATTTTTAGAGGAACTATCAACATTTCTAAAATGAGTTAGCTCTAAGATGATACAATTACGAGGTTCTATGTGATAGTAACTAAACGTTATAAAACTATAGAATAGGTGCTGTCATATTATACATTGCAGAATGAATTCTTCTTAAGTCTTATATTTGAAACCATCTTCTTATAATGAACATATAAAGTAAAAGGAAAAGTGCTATTTTTTGTTCTAATTATTCTTTAAAATAGTAGCTACTTCTTCGAAATACACGTTTTCAGAAAAGAAATTTCATATGTCTGTTCATCTGTAACTATAATGTGAACAAACTTCTTTTTTTTCTCATCCATATCTCATCCTTATCGTTGAGACAAGAGAATATTTCTGACTAGTATTTAATTGTAATTACAAGACGCCTTAAGGGCTAAAGATACTTGACTCAAACAACACGCTGACTTTGAAGCAGTACATACTTGTATGTGTGTATGTAAAATCATAAAGGAAGGATCACACACTGATCAAATATAAATATTTTATAGACAATGTGAACAATGAATCGTTCAATTATAAAAGAAAAAAATTCATTGTTTAGCAAAAGAAACGTTTTAGTTTCTTCTTTTTACTAAGAAACTATTTCTACTATCTACCCACCCTTTTCATATTCGTTGTGATATAGCGGATTAAATTCAAGCATAGAGAGATCCAAAGATACAATACTGTCAATAACAGATACTTTGCTCATTTCTTATACTTATCAATAATCAAATCTAATTGTGTTTATTTCTACTACTATCCATTTCAAAACAGAAGGCAATGATATAGACCTATTCTGTAAACAAAAATGTCTTGAAATACTGAAATATGCCGTGTGAGAAGGTGCATTCAAAATGCCATTTATATTACCTAAAATGTGTATCATACCGACAAGTGCTTTATGGCAGGATAACATATTCGATAGTACGTCTACAGAGAATACATCTGTTATATCTCTGATGGAATGTGTCCTATACACTTCAATGCATTTTAATGTGCCCTGATGTCATTTCATTCATTTTTTTGTTTGCGATAGCATGTCTGCATAATAAACCCAAAATTTTACTATGAAGATCAAAAATTATTTCGATGCTCGATGATTCAGTTCTAACGTAAGAAAAGTATCTTCGACGATTAAGTGGTTCGACTATAAGCAGCTTACACTGCTCCGAGATAGAAGTTATAAATAAGATTTGAAATGTCTTGTCTCTTCATATTTTCTTGATGTCATTCAAAGATAAACTAAACAATACATATACTTTTAATTATATTTTCTCAGAAATTAGCTAAAATATACTGGATATTAGGCGCATTCTTTTGTGATAGATCGGACACATTAAAAGATACATGAATACGCATTGGTAGATGACACATCGTGTAATGAGTTAGAATTTTATGTCCAGTCCATCGCAAAAACATGTGCCGTCCACGAGAGCACTTTTTTCTTTATAGAACAAAGAGACAAGCAAATTTCAATATATTTAATAGTACTTATTTTCAGTTTTCTTGTTGATATAACTTTCCCCACTGATATATTTTAATTCAAGAGGGAAACAGCTGAACAATTTCATCTTATACTTTTCTCCTCTAAGAACCTGTTATTCTAACGCAATATGCACCAGCTATAGACAAGTTATATCCGGCCGTAAAATTTTGTACAGAAACGTTTGATCTATCCATTTTCAGTAAACAAAAACCTAAAAAATAAAAGAGAAAAGTTTTTTATTAACGAATTACTGAAGAAACGTGAATAGTGAAATAACTGGTCATCAATTATCATGTACAGTTACGATATTCTAGATTGTTCATGTTCGTATTCACAGTTGAGTTTGAATTTTTTTCTTTCTTTCAACAAATATGTAGAGGACACATTTTCTCTACAAAATGACATATTTCACAGCTCGGAATAATTCTTAATAATCATATTATAACAATTTTTCCAAATATTCTGGTATCAGTTATATAACTGGTACATGTCTAATTCTAACTTACATCTAAAGAGTTGACTATTAAAACATTTGTAATTCATAGAAATTTTATTTTCGTTGAAAAGTAATTACAATTTCATTACAATCTAGAATATTATTTCAAGTATAATTGTTCTATTTCTTCATTTTCTCTCTGTCTCTCTCTCTCTCTCTCTCTCTCTCTCT